AAGGGGACCACCCCCTTTTTTGGGACAAAAATGGGGGGAAAAAATTTAAAAAATTTTTTTTTTTAATTTTTTTTTTTTTTTTTTTTTTTTTTTTTTTTTGAAAAATGTGAGTTATTAACAACCGATTTGATTGGGTGAAAACTTTTTGCCTTTGCCATTCACTTCATAATGAAACATTTTTACGATAAAATTGAATTTTTTAGCATTAAAATTGTTCGACAACTAATTGCAGTTGCTGGAAACACATTTAAACATAACGAATGTCGAAAAAAAGAAAATGTTAACGCAAACATTAATTTTGATTTTTAAAATTGATTTTCATTTCGTCTAATAATAATAATAATAAACGAATGAACTTCAGTTCTCAAGTGATAGAAAAAATTAAACGACGGAAAAAAATGAATTTTGATCAAAGAATGTCATTAAAGATTATTGTTGCTTTTTTTACCTCACCTTTTCACATCTTATTCCTTCTTTTCATCATCCTCATCATATAAAATAAATTCTAAAGTTTGCATAACAAGTTTAGATTCAATTTTTTTGTTTTGTTTACAAGAATAGATTGGCAAGTCATCAGTGTAGGAAATCAGGATTAGTCATAAAAGAAAATATCATCAACTAAGAATTTTCATCATAAATAAATGATGATGGAAAAGCAATCATTAGTTGATTAATGAATGAAAATGCTTATAAGAAAGTGAATCATAAAAATGTTTCCAGCATATTCTATCTGGCTTCAATTTAATGCCGCTTCATTCATTTAAGATTATAATGATTGAGCCATTTGCACGGGAAAAAATAAGAGATAAAACAAACCTTGTGTTGGAAAGTACAAAGTATTATAAATGCAATGAAAACAAAAAAAGCCGGCCAATTATAGTGAAATTAGAGAGAAAAACAAGATGATGCTAATAACTCTCATTCAAAGAATATTCGAAAATTCAGAAAATAAAATAAATAAAATAGCATCGAAGAATCTAATAATTTATTTTTCTTAATATTATATTCAAAATGAACAGATTGTCGAGATGATGTAGGATATACCGGAATTAAAATGTGTCAAGCCTCGTCAGGATTTAAATTGCACCCTGTGAAATATTATTGTCATTCTGCAAAAAAAATGAACATTCGGTATGGTATTTCATTTGTTTGTTACGGTATGTCCATAACGTTATGGAATAATAAAAATTCTGTGAAAAAAAGAAACAAAAAAATTGGTCGAGACGTTCACTCACACATAACTACGAAACGAATGATTTACGAGAAACAAAAACCGAAAAAATTAATAAAATAATGAAAAAAAAATTTAATAAAATATTAACCATCAAACATCAACAACCAGATTTCATGAAAATGTTGCCATAAATTTTCAAAGTCCGAGAATCCAAAAAAGATGATATGAAAATTTTCAGTAAATAGCAACTAAATTTTTTTTTAAATATTTATATTGAAATAAATTAAACTTTGTGCAATAGTATAATCTTAATCAAAATCATTGAAGAACATAAAAACAAAAGTTTTCCGAGTATAAAGACTGCGTACGGTTTCGAACAATCATTCAAAGATGAATCAGCAGAATTTGGACCACCATTTGAATTTCGATTTTTCCTAATTAAACTTTGCACATTAAAATGTGCATATCGGAAAGATTTGAAATGTGAGTGCGTATGTGTGTTTGAATGAATAAACAAGTTTCGAATCTAGAGAGATTTGAGAGCTGTGTGACATCATCATCATCATTGAATAAGAGAGTATGAATATAGAGTAAACACAAGTTTCAGGAACAAATGACAGTGCTTTTTTCCTTGCACAAAGAATCGATGATGATGATGCTTGCTTGCTTGATATACGAGCATAAAATTTTGTTTACGCAGACATTTTATTCATTTTTCTATCACTTTTTTTTCTTGATATATTATTGGTTTGAAAATCTTCATAAGTCAAATGAACTTCGTGGTTCAAGTTTTTTGTCTTTGTTTTATTTTTTAATTTTAATGGAAATCAAAACATCATTGATAACAGAGAAAATGGACAAAAAATTTTAATCATTTGCAACAACAAAAAATAAATAACAAAATAATGAAACCATTGTCATTCAGATAAATATACCATCAATGTGAGAATGTGATGAAAAATTCGAAATAAAAATCAAAACTGAACAGCTGAAATAAAATAGATTTAGGTAGATTAATGTCGTATAATATTGTGCGTGTTTTTAAATATAAAGACTAGAATCATTTTGATCTCAAAATGTTATATAATATTTGGCAATGAAATGATAAATCATCTTTGACAACGTTCAATACAACATTCAATCGCTTCATCAATATCATGGAAAACAGGTACATGAGATTTGGTTGCCATGTCCGAAAGATATGATCGACCACGATTATAATCTTTGATCGCCATTGGACTCAACTGTTGATTTGTTTGTTGAATAAATAGAAAAAAACAAAGAACAATGAATGATATGATCATTAATTAAAAAATTGTTACCTTTGAAGCCAATTTAGATTTGGCAGGATTGATATATTGAATACAGAGTACCACTTTGAATTCTAATCCAACATAATGGGCGGCCTATTTTTATAATAAAAATATTTTCGATAAGAATTATTGTTTAAAAAAAGCATTAGAAAAAAATTACCACAATCATCGATGAAATATCTAATGAATCTTCCGGTATGACGAATAAAAGTAAACGACATTTTTCAATGTTGATCGCTTCCAATGGTGTCATACGTTCATATTTGGCTTGTTTATCAAACTTTGGCAAACTAAACGTGATCGAATTTTTTCTGTAATCAAATAGTAGAAAGGAAAATTTTCATTTAGAATAAACAAAATGTTTAAAAAAAATTAATGACTCACTTGAGCAACGGAATAATTTTATCCCGTAACAATGTTGGATCCAAATAACCACCGAGATAAAGATCATAGCCATTCTCGTTCATGGAATTTATTGATGTTTGTGATGATGATGAAATCATAAATGGTGTTGGCTGTCGATGCGATGATTGTAATGGAGGCAAAAATGTTGCCGATGAACGATGTTGATTGTAAGAACGCCGACGATAATTAACATGAGGATCTTCATAATTAATATTAGATTGGTCCATGTAGGCAAGACGAGGTGATGAAGATTTACGAAATGGCGATACCGAATTACGATGACGAGTGAGATGATAATGATTGTTATGATGTTGATTTTGATGATGTGGACTTAAATGATATGATAGTTGGTGATGACGATGTTGTTGTGACTGATGAGGATAATAATCTATATCCGAATTCAAATGATTCAATGATTGACTAGATCTCATCAGATATTCCTCTGGTGGTGGATAAGATGAATCTTTCACTTTTCCAATCACATCTGTTTTGTCATTATATTTTATACAATTTGATTTGTTTGTTCGTGAAGAATTTTGACGTTTTCTATTTTTTTCTTTTTTGGTGCCTCCAGAAGGGACATTTGATTCACTATTGATACCGATCCCAGAATCGATCAATGATTTGATTACAGCTGAAACTTTCTCTACAAATTGATTTAGGACTGTATTGGTGGTTTCATTCGAAGATGATCGTTTTTCACTTTTGGACGATTTTTTCTTTGGTTTGGTTTTTTTCTTTGAATTCAACGTTATACAGCTGTCGGAATCAGTTTCGATTGTAGTTGTACTTGTAAAACTATCTCTTCCAGCTGTATCGGAACTTTCAGATCCTTCCGAAATTCGTTCAACATTCTGACTGATTTCGTTTTCGTCTGAAATATTCTGCATTCGATTCCACTGCATTTCCAATTCTGATACAATGATGCAGAAATCATTAAAATCCAATGGAATCTGATCCAATGGTGGGATTATATCAACAGTTTTACCATCTGATGATTTTTGAGCTAGATGCCATCTTGCAATTTGTCTCAATAAATCAGATGTTATCTCTCGTCGGGTCCAACTAAGGTAAGCAAAATTAAGTTCCTCCATCGTTACTTCTTCTTCCTTAGAATTTTTTGACTGATTATATACTTGATAAACTTGAATAATTTTTTCACCCAATGATATTCGTCCATTTTTCACAGGTATGACATCATCACTAAGTGCCAAATTTTGTGGCCAAACATTTTCTTCGAGGACTTGAATGGCAGATCGAAGAGCTTTAGAAATATCACAGAAAATCGGGATTTCTTGGCGTTCAACAATATCACGAAGATATTGACGACCACGACGTAAATATTCATATTCTTCTTTAGAAATATGATCATTACCGATTACCATTTGTTCAGACCAAGGTTCGAGATCAATGATGACCAGAATTAATTTTCGTGATAATGCTGCAATAAAAGCTACTTCAATCATTGATGCAATTGCGCGTGTTTGATTATCGACAACGAAAAATAATACTTCAGAATTCTGTTTAGCATAGCTTTCCATTTCGATTAGCTCCGGCCCCCAATGATCGACTTGCTTTTTTTAAAATAAAAATCACCATCAGTATTTGATGTAGGTTTTTAAATTCACTTACCGGATTATAATAGGTGAGACATTTCTTTTTCAATTCAGGCATCACCAGATCTGAACGCCAACGGGTCGGATTACAGGAGCCGCCAAGAAAAACTAATGATTTGAAATAAATTTAAATGGTTCACTTTCAAGTATAATGACAACTTACTATCAAATTTGTTCTGATTAGAATTGCCAGGATGGTCGACTAGACTAGTGCGATGATTGCTCAGATGGCCACCTCTTAAATAAGGAAAACTATAATGAATGGGTGTTTGACTGCTATTACGATTATTATAATGAGCCATTGATACCGGAAAACCATGATTGAATAGTTGTGGTTGCGAATGTTCCATGTGAAGGGAAGAGACATGATTCGACATGGATTGACGGCTATGTGATGCACTAATTTTAATGCAAAAACATAAAATCAATCAAGTAATGTTTAAATAGTGGAAATGGATTGTCATCTTACCGGGCATTAGTAGTTAAAACACTAGCAAAGAAACAAAACTCTCCAAATGTTAATCCAGTTTCACTTGGTTTATCATTGTCATTATTATTCAATTGTTTTGAATTGGTTGTTTCGGTTGTGGCAGCTGCAGAAATCGTATGCAATGTTCTTCGCCGAGAACATTTTGAAGCGAACTGTATCATCTCGTAAATTTGTGATTCGGTTGGATAAAGATCAATTTTATGATATTTTGCCTGAATATCTCTTATTAAACGTCGTTGATATGTAATAGGATTATTATAATTGACATCGTAAGAGTTGTTTGATTTGAAGTGTTTGTCAAAAGAAATCGAGTTTGACTTCGTCATAAAATGATAATTTGCAGTAACATCCTTATCATCGTGCTTGACAGTGGCCAAGTTTGTTTCCTTACTATTAATATTTCTTTCATCTTTAGAGTTATCTGATAACCAAGCATCATGCCAGCGTCTTGATTAATGTTAATTAAAATGAGGATCTTTGAAAAGATAGTTTTTTATTAAACATACCTAGTTAATTCACCGTAAACAAATGGTGTAGGCAATGATGGTGACATTTTTATAGATGATTGATGATCATCCAATGAAAGATAAATGCCTTTACTACTTGATTCAGATAATGACAAATCACTTCCAGAAAAATAACAACTATCCACGTTTGTCTCTTTTTCGCCAATAATTATTGATTCTTCTCGCTCTTGTTCTTGATTGTATTGGATGTGGCAGATTGATGGCAGTTCAACTTGATCGGATAATGAACAAGAAAGTTTGTGTTGATGTCGTCGATCATTGATTGCAATCACCGATTGCGTCTTGTTCTTTTGATGTTCAACATTTTGTTCATGATCATAATGATGTTTGACGTTTGAAACCAATGTTGTCGATATTGTATCGGATGTTTTTGATGAGGCTGATGATTGCGACAGTTGTTTTCCTTCATGTTGATCAAAATTATAATTATTAATTTTGAAATCTTCATCATTATTGTCTAATGGAAATTGATAATCATTATCATGTTGGTCATCATGCAAATTATGCGAATTAACATCCGCATCATCAACAGTATCAACTACTGAAGATGAAGATGAAGAGAATGTTTCGAACTCAATTTTCTCATCATCATCATCATTAAAATAAGGATTCTCCAGAATCGAATCGATCGTTTTGTTTTCAAAGTGACAGCGAACGTCATTAGATTTAAAACTATGAGGAGAAATCAAATTCGATGCAATTGCTAGACTCATCTTGCGACAAAGTTTCACAGGTTTCAATCAATCAAAAACAAAAATCCCAGAAAATCACAAGGAAAAAATAAGCAAAAATCAAAGTGATTTCGAAGCCATTTTTATGAAGAATATTAACAGATTAAATTTATTTTCGAATGTAATACATTAATTATTGATGAATAAATCAAACGATACTGAAAAAAACCTTTTTATATCAAGCATCCGAAATGATCGAAGATTGTTGTTCTTTAATTTTCTATTTCGATGTAGTTGTAGAAAATAATAATAATATTAACAGACAATAAAATGAGAACACATAAACACTCCTATTTGTAATTGATTATATTATTATATTATATACACGTGATAATTCCGATAATAAGCACTGATAATGATGGATGGACGTAATGATTTTAAATGGAATCATCATCATCATCATCATTATAAATTAACTGATTGATGTAGATAATAGATTATCAATGTATAGAATAGAATGAAAAAAAGGTAATATACCTGATGATTATATATTTTTTAATTGAATTGAAAACAAATGGAAAACAATTTATTTCTGGTCATGAGATTGATTAATGATGGGAGTAAATGGATTTTTTTATTAAATCGCTATGATTATTATAATGATAATTTTTTTTTTAAATTAAATCTAAATCCAAAGATTGCGGTTAATATAACGACATGTATATTTATACCCACAAAACACATATAGGAATAAAAAAACAATTTTATCTTTATTGTTAATACCATACAATGAAAGTATCTATATGGATAATAATGGTTGATTGCATCTAACAATTTTTGATTTCATTTATTAATTGAAAACATTGTTATTATCGGTTTGTGTACCCCGGGAACCTTTGAAATTTGATATTAAAAAAAAAGAATTTTTAGTTAGAAATTTTTTTGGAAAAAGTAGCAGATTTTTTCAGAATTTTTTCTAATTTAAAAGATGATAATATTGTTGACCAATTATACGAAATAAAGTTTAGCTACTAGCGTTGAAAGATTATTTCCTAAACAAAACATACGATTTTAAATAATAGTAATTATGATAATTGTCATGGTTTTCGATTTTCGTTTGCAATCATCATCATGTTACGAAATCATCAAACCGATTTGATAGATGTAATAGATGAAACAAAGAGAAAATTATTGAAAAATTCGAGATTCATTAATAGAAACAATCCTATGTCACAACTAAATAACGACGAAACTGAAAATTTATAAGCAAATGGTTTTCAAACGTTTGAAAAGAATATTTCCTGAATTATAGCAAGTCGAACTGACCTAATACAGTCGAAATAGCTGATCAAATTACGTGGAATCTCCAATCCGCTCATAAAAATTTGATTTCATCTTTCATATGATTTCATTTATGATAAATAATCTCAATTTGTTTGTTCATCTTGAACAGCAATCGTCATTGACATTGATTGTAATGTCAACATTTTTTTCCTTTATCGAAATTGCAATGAAAAAAAAAATAGTTTTCAAATTATCATATGATCGATATTTAATTTTACAACTCTATGAATTTGTCATCAAAATGGACTAATTTCAAATGATCTTGAGTGTGCAAACATGTGAAACAGTTTGTTATAACCAATTAGGCCATCAGATATGAGGCGAAATGCAACAAGTGTCATTTATGCAAAAGTTGTAACAGTATGATTATAAAGTAAATAAAATTATTTGGGGATGAAACCGATTTCACCTATCTATAGACCTGTGTTTGTAAAAATTTTATCCAAATTACATGGCTACTCGATAATTTCATCATCAAAATTATCATGAAATCATGATTTTAAAAAAATTTGCTCAATAGGCAAACATTTTTAAGTAGCTTTATTCTTGTTCCAAAAACCTATATTTTTAATCATTGCGTTCATCATTACCATAATCATTGTTTTGAATTTGGTGATTGCAAAGAAAAATTTGACAAATATTGCCAATTTATCTATGGGTCAATTTTTTTTCTTTTGGAGTTGATCTAGGCAACTGTTTGATGATAAATGGTTGCAATCAATATCTAAACATAAACATGCAGCTTTCACACATACTCATAACGGTATTATGATTAGCCATTTAGATTGATTCTTATACATTTCATAAAATTATGGCCAATGTTTGCAATCATTTAAGTATGGCCAATTACATAGACAAACATTAGAAATTGGAATTCTATTCTATAGAAAAGAATTTTTCTTACAAAAGAAAAAAATTTCTCATACTGTTTATTTAGTTACACAAATGTTTCATAATCAAACAGGAAAAAAATGAAGAAAAAAAATTTTGATGAAGAAAAAATTTGGTTTTTTATTCTTTCTGAAAAATCTAAAAATATCATCATCATATGAACATTATAAGAACTGAAATATTCACTTTCGTCATCATCTAAATAAAACGAAGAAAAAAAAATTATTCTATTCATGGTATACTCCCTCAAGTTGTTGTTGTTGTTATTATTATTGTTAATGTTATGTATAAACAACATTCACAGTCAACGTCAACAACAGGCATCGAAATTCTGAACATTGGAATTGATCCAAAAAATGAAACAAAAAAAAATTGAAGAGAAAAACAAATACGATTTAAATTCTCGCATCACATCACCAAAAAGGGGAGTATTTTTGTTTTTTGATTAAAAAAAATTCATCATAAATGAATTCTATAAATCCTTTTTTTTGAGCTATGAATTATAATCCTTATTGATTTAACAATTCATTTCATAATTAAAGATTTATTATTAAATACGAGAAGCTATGTTTATCTATTCAAAACTCGAAATAACTTGGTTCATTATTTGATGTTTTGCAATGTAGTTGCCTCATAGTAGTAAAAATGTACTTCCCACATTGATATTCGATTGAAAGAGTTGAGGAACCACTTGAGCAAGCAATGTCAAGTTGTTATTATTACTATTTATTTCAAAAATAGAAAAGAATAGGATAAAAAATAAGATTTTTTTCTCTTTTAAACAGGTCGAACATAAAAAAAAAGAAACGACAAACAATTCGAGGTCAAAAATCGATGAACACACAAACAAACACAGAAAACCGGGAAAAATATGAATGACATAATGTCATTTAGTAAAAATTGAATGGTATATGAATTAAAAACATTGTTATTTTTGTAAAAAAATTGCTTACAACACATAATGTACGAATTTTTTTCTATTTGTTGCAAATTATTAGCCAATTGATTGCATAGTTATTTTATCACTACAAGAAAAAAAATCAAAATGACAAAAATGCATTATCAATTGTGGCGAACCCGGAAAATCATTACTCTTTTGTTCCGGGATTGGTAAAATTTTCCATTCACAGCAATTGATTATGAATACAAAAAAAATCGTTGTTTGATTTTTTATTTTAACCAGAATGATGAAAAGTGTCAAGCTTAATCAAATATTGAGCTAATTTTTTCAAGGATCAAAAGTGAACCGTATCTCATAAGAAAAAAAAAGATCCATTCAAAACAAAATATCGGAAAATCCGACATTTCGTATCAAGAAATTACAAATTTATTTGTTTATTATTATTATTATTTTAATCAACATATCAATACTTGCATTATATGATAAATATGAAGGATAAATTTGTTGACATAAGAATGTATAATCAATTTGAGATAAAAATAAAAACACAACCAAAATACATACATTCATATAAAAACACAAATATAAATATATAGAGAAAAATCATTCGATCACAAATATGCAATGAAATCTAGATTGCCAAATGATGAACAAAAAACAAAACAAAAAAAAATGTTTGCAAATTTCTGTCATCAATGAAATGATAAATATTCGTTCATGATAGATAGTTTTGTCAACAATATATAAACATTGAAATAATAATAACCGAATGAAAACATACCTGTTATTTATGATAAAATCATGACGATTAATTGAATAAGAGGACAATGACTTGTGAATAATAATTAATTAGTTTTTTAAATTGTAAATTAACAAGGTAAATTTGTGTACAAAATAACATCCAAGCAATTAGGTAGGCGAATATCAATTGAATTTGGTTGTTTTTGTTGAAACAGTTATCATTATTTCATTTTAGGCATTTCTTGCCAGTCAATATGATGTTGAAAATTCAATATCATATGATTACAAATTCAAATAGACATTATGTAAATCGGAATTTTATAGCCGTGAAATAAATGCTCCTATGATATAATACAAAATACATCAAAATCAAATATACCGACAGTCTCTCGGCGGAGGAAAATGAACAAAAATAAAAAAAAATAAAAATTGAACCTAAAGAAGAATTATCGTAAACATACATTTAACAAACGAACCAAGACGACGATGGTGAAGACGAAAAAAAAGAAATGTTTTAGTATGTTTTGCCGAATCGGTGAAGATGTTGCATCGAAGAAATTGACGAAACAAACCGAACCGTACAAAAAAAAGAGTGGAAAAAGAGAGAGAAAGGAAAAATCTTGAATAATATCATGGCGACGCCATCGCCACTATCATTGCCATCATCAACACCATGATTGTATGTTTGTATGAAAATGTTGGAATAATATCCAAAATAATCATCGTCATCGTCTTTGCAACATAAAATTTAAACCAAAACTCATATATATTCAGCTGATCATCAAAATGATAATGACGGAATATCCCATAAAATCAGATAATCATGTTTATCGAATGATAGAATCTAGTTTTTTCAATATTTATCATCCAATAATTAATTCTAATAAAACAAATTAATTCAATAACAATATAATCTAATCAGAAAAACATGGATAAAAAAATTTGTGTTCGAAGCAACAAGTTCTATGCTTCTACTTTTTTTCTAAATAGATTTGGTTTAGATTTTTGTTTTTGTTTTATTGTTATTTACTTTGTTTGGAATAAAATCATTCTATATTTGTTCTACTACGTTTTTCAATATATCTATATGATTCCTAAACTGTATTTAAAAAATTTTCTATTCAGAAATAAGTTAGCTGTAAACGAATAATAAACAAATTGTAGATTTTGAGTGCAAGCAATATTGATACATTTATTCTTTTCGATTTATACAAATGAAATAGCAGCATCAACAACAATTGGAACATAAAATATATGTTTTCCAGATAGAAATCATGGTTGACATTTTTGTTTTGTTTTGATTTTTGTTTTGGATTGATGTAAAATTTAGTAAATGTACGAATCCAATGTATAGTCATGTGAATCAATTTTATTTTCCAAAAAAAAAAATCACATTTATAATGATGACATTGACCGGATTGTTTACCATTTTTTTCATGTTGCATCAATAATAAAAATTAGACCAATAAAAACAAGTATTACGTATTTTAACATAACAATAACAAATAATTTCAATTCATCTAATGATAATCAATGGTACAAATATAATTCATTTTTTTAAACAAATAATATTTAGAGTAGACGTCAAACAGTTAAACAAATTATTCCATGTTATTAAGTGATATCAATAAAAATAGAATTAGTTATTATTGAAATTGTTGATACAACAAAATGATTGTCATCATCATCATATTATCATTATCTAAACATTATTCATCAGCAAAAAAAAAAAGAAAAATTACATTTATGGTCAACACACATGACAATTATTTTAAGAAAATTTTGATGATGAAATAATGATGGTAACATGATACTAAAATGATATACATAAAAAGGTTTCATATATACAAATATACCAACAATTCTAAACAAACAAACAAATATTCAAAAGTCACGAACACCGTAGACGCTAATTTTAATATCAAAATACAAGACAAAAAAACTATTCGAAAACGGTGAACGGAAATTGAATCAATAAAAAAAAACATCATTTTCCATCCACAAAAGGGTTAATGCTTGTTTGATTGATTGATTGATTGATTGCATTGTTATCATAATCATTATAATTATCTTCATCTTTTCCTAATGATGTTTGTATTTCTCAGAATAAATTATTTGATTATACAAACATACTTCTGTCCGCCTATCGATCAATCAATCAATGGTCAATGCAACATCTTAATTTTTAAGCAATTTCTGATCAATCAATCAATCAATCAATTTTTTCTCTTTTGAATGATGGATTTCTCTTTTCTTAGTTTTTTTCACACAATTATTCTACAACCAAGTTGGTTATTTATCTTATTGATTGAAATTATCATCACAAGTAGACAACAAAATATACGAAATAGACATTCATGTATATTTACACAATTTATGCATCAACAACATAATTCATGAAAAGATTGCATTCGCATATTTGATTGATATATTAGGATGATTGAAATTCCCTTATCTTTATTTATATTTCATCATAGTAATTTTTGAAAAATAAATTTTATAGTAAAAAATGAAATGAATTGAATTCATCTCTATGCTTGGCATTTTCTCAAAATTTTATGATTAAAAATTGATCGATTCAATTTCATCAAAGTGAAATTTTTTTCCCCATTCAATCATTAATGTATTACATTTTTAATTTTAAATTAAATTCAGCAAACATGTTTATGAATTTTTTTCGAAAATGAATTCCCAATCAAAATGAGCTGATTGAATTGAATATAAAAATCGAAATTCGGATCAATAAACCGAAGAAATAATGAATCCTGTTTGATAGAATGTACCTGTTTATACATCTCATTATCATCAAACAGGATTCTAATGATGATTTTTTTTGTTGATTTGAAAATTGAATGTCAACCAATCAAATTATCAATGACAACATCCAGCAACAACAAAGAAATGTAAAAAATCAATTAAAAAATCAATACAATTAAACACGGATAAAAATAAAGCTATGCTTTTGTTGTTGCTGAGGATTAATTAATTGAATTGGTGGATGAGGGCCAAAAGTTAAAAAAAATGTGGTTCAATCATATCATCAGAGTTTTAAGATATCATCTGTAAATCCAAGATAATAATTCAGAAATTATTTTTGACAATGATTAGTTTTGATGTTAATTTTCATTCGATCATATAATTGAAAAGCATACATAAATACAATAACAATGGAGATGAATATAAAAAAGACCTTCATACCTTTGGGTTTAATTTGAAACCTTAACATCGAATCGATTGAAAAAGTGCCGCTATAATCAATGAATCCATACATGTTCACCATGACGACAACGCTATCCCTTCTGCGTACAAAAACAGTTTCGATTGCCATGATGATGATAATAATAGCAGAATGGTAGTGGATATGATTGTTGTCAATGATGTTGATGTATGCAAAAGCCATAGTGATGATGCTGAGAAAAAACATTTTGATTGATCTAAAATTTTTATTCAATGAAGCCATTTAAAATTCAATAAATTTTTTCTGAAAATATCATTTCAGAAAAATATTTCAATATTATTCAATTTTAACTGATGATTTTGCACAACCGTAGTTATATAATCACTAAAATTATTTGGGAAAAGTCATATTTTTTAATAGATAAATTCTATAAAAACAATCATTTGTTCATTACCAGTCAAAATCAATCAATCTACAGAACAATGTCATCAAAATCAGAAGAGAATCGTAGCATTCATTCGGCATCGATAAATGAAATTCATGATGTACCAATGTCGGTCATACATCGACCAATTCCACCGATTTTAGATGAAAATAAGGTGAAAAGTTTGATGCAAACGTTCAAGGTTTGTACTTTTAATAACGGAGATATTCATGTTTAAATCAGAATGAAATGTTTTCTATTCATTCACAGGATAATCCTGAACAGGTACCACCGATCGATGTATTATGGATCAAGGGACGTAATGGTGGAAACCATTATTTTTCATTTGGTGGTTGTCATCGATTCGATGCTGCAAAACGTCTAGACCTGCAAACTATACGAGCCAAATTGATACAATCAACCGTTGATGATCTTCGTATCTATATGGGTTCATCAACACCTGATTTACAATGATTTTTTTTTTGTTGTAGAGAAAATTTCCTTTCATTAAGATCTTAATCAAAATATATTCTATAGAATAAATTTCCTTACTCAATTTCATTTCAAAACGCAACCGAATTCATTTTCCTGGAACAAATTATTTCATCACGATTGTACAATCTGTGTGCAATCGAATAGAAAAAATAAACAAACATTTCATATGCGAATAGTGACATCTTTTGGAACAAAATTACACTGAATGATTGTTTGTTGATGGGCGCCAAAATCGTTCCAAATGCATTGTCAGATCAATTAATTGATTGATTCTGATAAATGTCACTCAAGTACGATGACTTTAACTGGCCATTTGAAAATGGCGGAAATTTGGTTTGAAATTTTAAAGGAAACAAAGGAAAAATTGTTTCACATTCATTGAACTCATAATCATATATCCTGATTATTTGCATGTATAAAAAGCGTTAGTTTCAATCAATCAATTCATCAATCGATCATCTTTTTCAAAATGAAATTACTAGTTACAAATTTTATATTGTTTTATTTAGCCATCATTGACTATGGCCATTGTGATCTATTCCAATTACCTGGTGTTAAACATATAACTCCAGATATTGTTAAAAAATTACCATCATTACCATCAAAAATAGTATCAAATAATCCGTTGAGTAAATTAAAAAAACTTTCTCCATTATGTGAGAAGATAATGAATTTTATTGAAACAAATCAAAGAGAAGTGGATTCATTACTCAAACGAGTAGGTATGCAACCAGATCAAATGTTCTCATCGTTATATCCAAATATGAGCCATTTTAAAATTGATCAATTAAAATCCTGTTATAATATGCGTATGAGTGATGATGAGACTGACGATAATGATGGCGCGCAGGAAGAACATAATATTTTTGAAAATACATTTCTAACAACTGTGAAATCATTCTATGTAAGTATTTATAGTCAAGTGGTTTAAACTGATAAAAATAATCAAACATTTTAATTAGAAACATTTTTCCGATGATCGATTTGAAAGTAAACCGTTTCCGGAACGTATTAAAAATCTATTCGATTCAATGCATAGAATTGCCAAACATACTATGGCTTGCGTTTTAAAACCGGCTGGATTTCAACTTGGTTTTACTCAGCTATCCGATTGGGTTAGCCATTTATTAGATAATTTTTTTCCAAATTCTTAATTGATCATTTTTCATAGAGTGATGAAGATTTCAATAAAATGCAAGGTGAAAGAATTTCCGAAGAAAATGATAACGAAGATCAACATAACAAAATAACTAATCGTGATGAAACATTAGCCAGCCCTGATGAACGAAATAAAAATCCGCTCAATAATTTTGTTGGTGGGTTAAATCGACTTCATAGACCACAAATCAATCGACAAGACAACCAAGACCACAAAAATTCTCAACAAAACAGTGATCTTGTTCGGCAGAAAAATGACAGAAATCGATCCAAAAGAGCAGTAGAGGTACCAAAAAAATGTTTAGTAAAAAATCGTGACAAATTGCCAGCAAAATTGGATTGGCGCGAATTGAATGCAGTGACACCTGTTAAATTTCAAGGTGAATGTGGCAGTTGCTGGGCATTTACTAGTATTGCTAATATTGAAAGTGCATATCTGATTCATAATAAAACCGGCGAACGACATTTTGATCTAAGTGAACAAGAAATATTAGCATGTGCAAAACCCAATGGTTGTAAAGGTGGTACCGGTGCTGATGCTTATAAATATATGATACGACGTGAAGGCATTGCTCGCGAAACAACATTGCCATATAAAGCTAAAGATAATGAATGTCCTAAACAAGAACGATTAGGTAAGGCTGCCGCAATTGAAGATTATTGTATGCGTGGAAAATATGTCAAATTGAATGGTCGACAAGAAGTATTGAATGATGAAGAAATTATGTTTATTGTACGCGAATATGGTCCAATATATACCACTATTCATATTGACGATGCAACCATGAAGCATTATAAAACTGGTGTTTATGATAATGATAATTGTTCGAAACAAACAAATCATGCTGTTACAATTGTCGGATGGGATGAAGAATCTTGGATTATTAAAAATAGTTGGGGTAAAAATTGGGGTGATAAAGGTTTCTTTCGAGTGAAACGTGGAAAAAATCTTTGCGGAATCAACACATACGTTATGTATGCTATAGTGTAGAATTATGGAAAAAATTCAAATTTATGTATTTTACCTGAAAATTATTGATTAGTGAACAACTTTAAAATGCAAAAATCTTTCATAACAATATTCACTGATTGCTTTTATAACGGCAAAAATCGAACATTTCCAGACTGAAAAAGTAATTGTCTATTCTTTCATTAAATCATATCATTGAAATTATGAAACTTGACTAAAAATCAATATCCACAATTCGAAATAGTGACAAATGTCATTAGTAATTAATTCGGATTTTTATTATTAAATGCATTATTATTAAAAAATTTTTATTTTAATTAGTTTCGTTGAAATTTTGTAAATAATTTTTGTCTAAATGTAATTTCCTGTTTCAAAAATGTGATAAGATGAAAATGAAGAAACCAATATAAATGATTATAAGCTGAAAAAAAAATTTAAAAAAATAATTAATTTTTAAATCAAATTCGAAACCTTTTCTCTTACCTGAAATACAATTCCACTTGTCATTGCACCAATTAGTGATAATGAAGGTCCATATTTTGGTCCATGTGTTAGCCGATGATACCAATCAGCTAATTTAATTTTCAGTCTTAAAGAATTAACATTTTGAATTATTGAAACTAAATATTTTTCAGGTTGATGAATATTTTTCGTTTGCATTGCTAATGATAATTGCGATTGTATCAGAATGAATGAATGAAAACAAAGTATGACCAAAATTTCAAACAGTTCTATCCGGTTCAAATTTTCGGTAACCAAAGCAACCAAAAATAATACATTCAATGGCAACGTTAATGTACAGAATATTAAATTAATTTTGCCTAATAATTTTGAGTATGTTATCATATAGAAACGACAAATGTTGCCATGTTCGATATAAATTGATGATAAACAATTTGAAATTCTTGATTTAGATTGGATCGGATGAAAATTCGATGAATGAATGGAGAGTATTTTTAGAATATTATTTATTCGTTTTAATTGAACATAATAAAATGCAATGATTAATAAAATATTCAATGCCGATAATATAAAGATTAATTGAAAGATGGTTAAACCATTATGCATGATGATTGCTATTTCAATAGACAGCAATAAATGAAAATACCATTCTGTAAATGGAAACATATTCCATGTTATATAATAATAGAATATCATGGCTGGTATAAAGAATAATACTATTGAATTTTTGTTTTTGAAAAAAAAGAATCATTAATCATTATCATTAAATAAAACCAAAAATACTAACTTAGTACAAAATGCAAATAATAAAAAAATTTGTCCATACAAGAAAGACCGAGCTCTAACATTGATCGACTTTTTATTGATAAATATGGCAATGATTTTAATTTGTATGATGATGCTTTTTTCAGATCCAAATGACCAAGCAGAAGTATGAATTGAATTCTAGTTTTGATCCAACAATAAACTCGTTGAATATAATATAAAGAACTTGTTGAACAAAATATATTTTTGTAATCAAATTGTTTCATATTAGTTTGATACATGTTTTCCAATGTTTGTTTTATTTCTTCGGGTGAATGATAACATTGAGAAATTTGTTCTGTATTGACAACAACCATATCATAAAAATATTGACGAACGATCGGATCTAAACGATACAGGAAAATTACATATGTTTCCATCATTGCAGTTAATACAATGATGGCCACTATAAATGTATAATGAACGAAAAGTTTTGGATTTTGATCATAAAACAATATCACACATGGATCATATAGCCAATAATTAAATTTATGTGAGCAATAACTCAATATCGCTAATGACATTCGAATTAGCCAAAAAATAAAAAGAATAATCTCGATCGAATGTTTAATTCGATAACCAAGTGTTTGACGATTTTCGCAAATTTCTTTCATTTGTCCATAACAAAGACGACGGATTTGGAAATACATTGTTCTTAGATTCTTTTCAATTCAATCTGAATCTAAAAAATTCTTTGTGTCGACGAATGAACGTCTTAAATAACTTATGGTTATAAGAATGATGATTTAATTTCTGTGACCAAAATTTCTTTCTCAAATTGATTTGTACATTTGTTTTTTTTTGTGTGCTGATGATTTCGAAACTAGAAATTCTCATTTTGAACGTGTAATATATTAAATATCATTACATTGAATTCTTTGTATAATTTTTTTTTAGAATTTCATTTTTAGCCCAGTTTACATTCATTTATCATTTTTATTTAACATTTCTCTGTTTGGGTTTTTATTTCTTGTCCATATTTTGTTTCATTTTTATTGTCATTTCTCTTTTTTTCTTTTTTTCGATTAGTTTTCATTTATACTAATCATAATGTACCAGAAGAACCTCAAATTGAATAATTTTAGTTCCAGAGATCTTATTCAAATTAAAACGTTAATTTTATTGATTTGAGAAAAATTTTTTTGCGAAATTTCTAATATCACTGTTGTTTGTGCCTTTTCCCTGTCAAAAAAAAAAAAAAAAAATCCAGAATTATTGACATAAGAAATGGATTTCAAGTCTGGTGGCAATTCGGGGAACAAAAAGAATACAATTTTTTAGTTTAAACTTGACACAATAGATGGCGAACCTGGAGATGTTAATCTTTGTTTTCTTTTTCTAAAAATATAAAAAAATGAATGGAATGATAAAATTGGCCATCATAATAGGTCAAGCAAATATCATCTTCATTTTAGCTATAATACGTAACATCTGCTCGTTTATTGATCAGGTAATATAAAATATAATGATGAAACATATTGATAAATTGAAAATCAAGATTTGTTCAGATGTTCGGCTGTACTGTATATAAATAAGTCACGATTTTTATTCACTTTTTTTCAACTACCGTTGCTTGTTAATGAAGAAGAAAAAAAAGGAATAATATTAAATTTACTTACCAGATGCTTGTCCATTCTAAATTCGATTGGTATAAACAAGGTCCAGAAAAAATTGTTTCCTTCCTTCCGATCATCAGTAGCAAAAATTATAAAATCGTGCCATTCGTTTCAATCATTTTGGAATTTCGTCAAGTAATAATGAATCAACGTGACGTAAAAATAATGTACATATTGGATCAATATATGTTTATACCTTTATCATATCATATCGATAATCATATTATAAATGAAAACCATATGGCCATCATTTTGTTTATTACCTTATCAAACCAGGTGTGTATTCAAACTTATTTTTTATTTGGTTTTTTTGTTTTTTGCTAAAAATTCGTGTATGTAATATGGTGATGTCACGCGTCTGGTCTGATTCATTTTTTTCGCCTTTAGGCTATAATATTTGCAATCTGGTCCATTATGATTCTAGTTGCAATTCATTAATTCATTTTCTATGATTCATGGATGTAACTTAAAAAAAGAAAAAACAAGAAAAGCTTTATGTTTGTGTAGGACAGTAGGGTGATCCTGCATCTGATCATCATCATTATCGATTGACCAATATCCAGTTGAATGTCAGATCTTAAAACCAGTATGCTAATCAATTAAAGTTTTGGATACTCAAGATGTATATCGATGAACGATCGATCAATCAAAACACGCAAGGTGGCCTCGCAGAGAATATCATCGATTCAGGAACCAGTAGGGAAGAAAAAGACCTAGACTTACATCATGAATCAAAAGAAAACCTGGTACAGGAAAAAATACTAAAAGCAAAGATTTGCATAATATGCTTCATAGAACAGTGAGAATGTTCTTAGCTTATCATCCTCATAACGATTCCTTAAATATTATAAAAATAGAAAAAAAACAATGTCATTTTTTCTGCACAAAATGCACAGTTTGAATTCGTTTTGTTTTTGTTTTCGATCATCATGAATATGATGGTCAAATGAACAACAAGAAAAAATGAAAAACAAACACCTGCAGAGTGTGATTGAAGGCAAAAAACAAAATCTGGACAAAAATATGATGGATCAATCGATTAGAATTAGAATTTTATTGACTGTCAACATGGCCAAGTAAGCAAAATCATTGGATGTATTTGAATAAAATTGACAGTTAATTGTCAATCAAATTTTTTTAATTTTTTCGGTTTCTTTTTTATTTTAGTGTTCGAACGGAAATCAAATATTGTTTTGATTTTATTTTTTAATTTTTGATTGACGGATTTGATTTCAAATTTTCATTCATATGATCATTTCGGCAAATGCCAAAGAGAAAATTGAATCGAATAATTTTTTTTGCTTTCAATATCCAATGATAATTAAGTATTGATCGTTATCTTTGAAACATTGATATCATCGGAAATTTTGTTTGTTATTATTTTGTTTACAATGTCCAAATTGAATAATTTTAGATCAATAATGATGATTATCCGATCTTAATTAAAAACAATTGATAATTGTTGAATGAATAGCCTCAGCAATATGCATTATTTTGTCTAATTTTTTTTTTGAATTAATTGTGGGCGCAACAATGGGAGTTTGAATTTTGAACCACATTTTAGCCACAGCCCAAACATATATTGTGATGATGATGCGTAATAGTAGTTGGAACATAAATGTGAAAAAAAAGGTGGAGCTTATAACTGTTGCTGTTTCGGTACACATTGATTTCTGCCCGTTTTATCATCATCATGGTCTATTCATTCATTGGTTGAATCAGTGGAAGAAGAAGAAAAATTCAATTTCAACAATAATAACGAAAAAAAAAGAAAAAACCTAATGCAGAAGCTATAGCTTTCAGCATATACAATGGTGAATGGCGTTGGTCAATGTTCACGGTAGCTATTCACGCACATTGAAGTAAAGCATAAACAGATTTCGTTTTTTTTTTTGCGCATAGGCAAAAGTTCTCAAAATTCAACAAATAAGTAGTGCAACAAGTTGATAGCCGATCTTCAGTAGCGATCGTGACTTAGTACCATCAAGAACAACTTATCAATCTCCAATTATTCTTTCAAAAAATATTCACAAACTGTAAAATTTTATTGATTTTTTTCTAGTTTCGAAAAAAACTTGAATTTTTTTACCAAAGATTTTTTGAATTTTGAAACAAAATGATCAACGATACAAATACAATGGATCGAACAATGATCGATATAAAAAATCATCAAACCCCATTACCATCATCATCATCATCAACACAATCATCATCATCGTTGGCAAATATGATTCTATTACAACATTATCTTCTGGCACAACGACAACAACAAATGCAACAGCAACCCATTGAAAAAATTATTTCAAATCCAATTCAATATCAACGACAATTTGCTGAATTTTTTAATCATCATCATTCTCAACATCAACAACAAAAACAACATCAATCAAATTTATATTCATCATTATTGATGGCTTCATTCAACAATAATAACCATCACCATCATCAACATTATCATCATCAACATCATGCCCATAATCATCAGATAAATCGTAAGTGTAAAAAATTATCATCAAATTCCAACAAGGAACCCGGACCTTATTTTATGGGGCTAGGCCAAATAGGATTAGGTGTGGACAATCATTGATAGAATATACGGTAGCTAACAATGTACAACAGTTATGATTCATTCATAAATTTACCTGATCAGGTAGATAATAAAATAGCCATCATATATACACATACACACGGATAATTCACAAAGGTGTGGCATTGGTTACAAGTTGGTATAAAAAAATTTTCTTAATAAAACAAAAACACTTGAAATAATTTTGTCGATGACCTTTGACCAAATAATTATGTGTATATCCGTGTTTATTTTTATTAAAAGAAATTAAAATTGAATTTTTTTTAACATTAAAAATAACAAATCTTATGCATCAACTAGAATCGATTAATAACAATTTGTTTTGTTTGTTTACTCATATTAATTATTTATTTTTTTCAAATTTAAAATAGAATGCCAATCCCATTCAATAAATCCATTTATGTCATCATATCCGATGATGACGTCTACTGCCATGTTTAATAATCAACAGCAACATAATAAACATTCATTGATGGAAACATCGAATTTGTTATTGACACCTCCACATACACCTGGAGCAATTTCATTGGAAAATGGCTCATCATCATCATCTTCGGTGTCTGCAATGTCACCACCACCATTGAATCTGACAAAAATTAAACGAAATCCCGAAAAACAATCACAACCGGAACCAATGAAAAAACGAAAATTTGATTTTGCCAATCTTGCCAGATCTGCTACCGAACCCGATGATGATATTGATGTTATTCATTCAACTTCAAATCAACAGATTTGCGATAAATTTATGGATGAAAATGGTGCGAAAAAGACAAACAGTAATGGTGGACGACGAAAAAAGAAAAAATTTATTTGTCGATTCTGTCAAAGACAATTCACTAAATCATATAATCTATTGATTCATGAACGAACTCATACGGATGAACGACCATTCAATTGTGACATTTGTGGTAAAGCATTTCGACGACAAGATCATTTACGTGATCATCGGTAAGTTATACATTGTTCATTTTTTTTCTTTGGAAATAAACTAATTTTTTCCAAATTATGTTTTTGTTAAATCATAGATTTATTCACTCAAAGGAAAAACCATTCAAATGTACAGAGTGTGGTAAAGGATTTTGTCAATCACGTACATTAGCTGTGCATAAAATTTTGCATAAAGAAATGTCACCACATAAATGTCATCTATGTGGTCGAGGATTCAATCAACGATCAAATCTAAAAACACATTTACTAACACATACGGATATTAAACCATTTAATTGCGATAAATGTGGTAAAGAATTTCGACGTAACTGTGATCTACGCCGACATATGTTGATACATTCAATGTCGAATACCATTCAATCGGATGAACAAAAAACATCGATCACCAAAACGATTCAATCATTCAATCAATCACAATCACAGCCAATAATTCATCAATATAATTCCATTGAATCACTTGTTGCTCGTAATTATTGATTGATTTAACCATTCACATGTATCATTTTTTCTTCCATCCTGTATATATTTGTCTTTATTTTATTTTAATTTTTTTTGCTGTTTTACCTTATTTTGTTTAATTTTCAATAATATCAAATGATTCATTTTTGCAACAAATCTAATAAATAAAGTCAGATTTTTTTTCTAATAAAAATAAATTGTCTGTTCATAAGTCAATCAATGTTTGTTTGTGTTAGTGTGACACACTTTCTATTGCAATTAATAACGATGCAGCTGCAAGCAAAATGTTGTAGTGTTTTCTTTTTAGAAGAATTTTTACGATTTGAAAAAATTTATTAATTTTATAATCAAATGTCTGGTCAAGTCTGGACAAATTTTTTCTCCTTACCTGCTGGCCACGTGGTAGAATTTGTAGCAAAAATAAAATCTCTAATCGTTCTACATCTACTGAATGTTAGTTGTCAACTTTGATTTAAACCATTATCTTATCATCAGAAAAAATCTTTATAGAAGGCCGGAATCGAAATAAATATATAAATTATAATGTTTAAAATGTTTGTGCGTGTGTGTGTGTGTTTTTACGTTGAAAAAAGTTTCGCTATTTTTTTTTGGAGATTCGATGCTTACATTATGGAATTGTAGCAATGAATAAAAATAAAACAAATTTGTTATACGCAAAAAAACAATAATCATTTATCGATTGAATTCGACCATTTACAAAGGTATGTGTGTGTGTCTATGTTACAATAATAACTAGCACGAGCCAGACCGGAAACGTAAATGATGTCTGATATAATAATAATAATAATGATTATGATGTTGATAGCCTAATGGTAGCATCAATACATTTACTATAAGAAAAGAATAAATAATAATAATGATCGCTTCTGTGAATTGAAATTATAAATTATTTTCTGATCGAAATCGTTTTTGTTGATGTTCGTTGTTGTTTGAGCAAAAAAATAAACAACACAATACAACTGGCTATTATTTTTATTTTTGATGAATGAAAAAAAATGAATTTGTGAAAATAAAGATCATTGTGTGTGTGTGTATTGAGCCGTGAAAACAAAACAAAACAAAAAAATTGATTCAAAATCTGATCTATATAAATATCATCATCGTCGTCGTCGTCGTTGATGATATTTAATTGACATTTGACCTATGAACCATCAATGGTTGAATAAGATGCCGATTCTATGATGACGATGATGATGATTGAAATATCATCACACCTAAACTATTCAATCAACGCTTGACGAAAAAGATCTTAAATGGAAAAAAAATCTTGATTTTCATACGATAATGTGACGCCTTCGACAGTCAATAATGATGATTTGATGAAAAGAGAATATTTTTTTCTTGAATGAAATCGAAATCAACAAACAAATCATTTAGAATGATTAAACACACACAGACATATATAGAAGCATTTTAAAATACGTTGCTGTTTCGGGTGCGGTTTGGAATTTAAATAATTTTTGAATTTTTTTTTCTTGTCGACTAATTTCACACAAAAGAAAACACACAAGATATAAATCCAAAAAAAATAGAACATCGAAAAAAATTTGTCTTTGATAAGAAAAGAATAAAAAGAAAAAAGAATCCCGCCATCACCAATGGTGCAATATTGTCAATTGAAAATATTTATAAATTAAATTCGGAAATGAAAAAAAACTAGACTAAATTAACAGCGAAAATGTGTGAAATAAAAAAAATACAAAATAAATTTCTACCGATTCGAATTGTGAAAAAAAACATTAGTGAGAATTTGAAAAATTTGTAATAGAATTCAATGAATGTTAAAGGTCAAAATTTCAAAATAATCAAAACATTCATTATTAATCATTCATTTATTCAATCAATTTTAAGTTGTTTTTTTTTGGAAAACTCAAAAACCGAATAATAAATCGGAAGGTGTTATAATTAGCCTTTTCGTGTATTCTTTTTCTGTTGTTACCATATCATGACAAGAAAGCCATATGGTAGGCTTTTTCATCATCATCGTTATCATTATCATTTGGTTATATATTTGATGATAATAACCTTATGGCCTTATGGTTTTTTTCCACATTAATAAAATATTTTTAAACCATAAATATGGGCGCGGTTCTGGTGTGTTTTTTTTGGTTTTTTTTTCGATAAACTCTTCGAACGATGATGACGATGATGATGATGGCCATGACCATACTGATTGATTTTCAATGATGATTGAAGAGCCAGATTCATATTATAAATATTTGATTCTTCAGATACTATTCTGTTAATTTAATTATCTTCACTTGTCATATGTTTTGTTTTTCAAATGAAATAAACAAAAATTTCGGGTGGCCACTTGTTGTTATCTTTTAATTTTTTTAAATATTGATTGTATGATCATTTTATTGATAAATCTTATAGCTACCGTCATTCATATATAGAATATATCGGTATTTTTATTATTATTTTTTTCTTTCGACAATCTTCTATCACTCATATTATGATGATAACATGATCAACTTTTTTGTAGCTACTGGACTATTCTAAGTTTATTTTTAGAATTTTAAATTCTAATTTTTTCCGTCTTCGATTATTATCACAAATATATCGTAAAATGACAGTTATCTTTGAAAAATTTTTGTATATTGGTTGTGTAAATGTTGATTTTTGGTTGCAAAAAAAAAAAATTCATCGGAAAGCTAATCTTGTAAGATTGTTTGGAACTAGCCCACCATCAATGATTATCAAATTGACGATGAATGTCAAGGTCACGTCGGTGTTTATTTGAAAATGAGTAAATTTTCTGCAATGGATGGTATCGAATGGCATAGTCTTAAATTTTCTTATCCGAATTGAGTTCTAATTTTTTTTTTCTTCGTGCTATCAATTTTCGATGAAAAAGAAAAGAAAAAATAACAATCCCAAGTGAAAGGAAGAGTTGAACAATAATTCAACACTGCTGACATAATCATAGACGTCTTTTTTTTGCCAATGTGTATATCGTGTGTGAACCACATTATACGTTTCATTCATTCAATAGTTGATTCCATTAAAATTTCATTAGTAAAATGTTCATGAGTGAATTGAATTCAATGAATGGATAAACAGAAAAAAAACTATAGTCAATGATTAACTTTTCTTGGTTGACCGGGTTGATGATCATTGAATGACACTAATGACGTTCATTCTATTTGTGCAAATGTATATTTTTCTGAGTAACAGAAGACCAGTGGCAAACTAAATGTCCTTAATCGGCCATTTCCGCCTCAGTATGTTCAGTTGATCATGGTCACATGATGATAGATAGATCGGTTGATTAGTACCTTGGGAACCGATGATCATTAAAGAAAAAAATATATAAACATATAATATAGAATTGAATATATAGTTTAGGTTTTGCGCACGAAAAGTGTTAATTGAATTACTACGTTTTCCTTTCCAATACTATTACATTGCTCAATTTTCAATAATAATTTTCATTATTTTTTTTCTTGAATTGAATTCCCTCCACGAATCGATTACGATTGCATTTGAAAAATCACACATAGATCTAGTAGACATAATATTCATTTGTGTTCAATGTCTACATTCTCATGTGTGTGTGTACATATCCTATCATTATGATTGTGAGTGAATGACGAGTGAATGTCAATTTTGAAATGTTGTTTGTCCAAATTTAGACAAAAATACACAATCGATTATCAATAATAATAAAAAATTATAAAACCAAAAATTATAGACTATATTGCGTCGAAAAAAAGAAAAAAGAGTCCGAAATGGTCAATTATCCAAAAAGGGGATTGATAGATGAAAAGTATAGACATTTGATTCGTTGTGTCAATAATGAAAAATTTTTTTTTGTGAATCAAACCAGATGATCATGATTTTGATAATGATCGCTATCATCATCAACGAGGTTAATGATGCATAGGATAACGCTAACCGGCTGTTGATACTATAGTTAAAACAATGATCGATCAGTTTCGATTGCGGTAAAAGAACTTCGTTTTTTTCATTGTCCTTTTTCTTTTCCTTCTAATCTAGATTTGATTTGTTTTTTGAATTGAAAAATATCGTGCAAAAAAAGTTTAAACAGATATACAATCTCTTGCTTCGTGTGCAAAATTGGTGATGAAAAGGGAATAGAAACTAACAAAAAAAAGAACAAGCCGACTGAATTTCGATTCTAGAATTTAACTCATCTTTGATTTTATGAACTTGATTTTCAAGTTTGACAATCCAAATTGTGACTAAATGACTCGCATTGGAAATAGTTTTATGGAAAACACCAACAAAACAAAAAACAAAACAAATGAGTCGGTTTTTTTTCTTTATCAATGGACCAACCACCCCCATTTTAGTAGGGAAAAACAACAAAAAATCACTTCAGTAAAAAGAAAAAAAAATCAAGTCCCATATTTAAAATAAGACAATATTGATTCGTGATGAATATCGTTTCATTTGAAAAACAAATTCAATCATTATCACTACCACCACCACCACCAACAGCTATGGCTAGACCAAAGAAATTTTTTTATTATTATTATTTAATGTAGTAATTTTTCGCGGTCAACAGATCAAAAACTATGGTCAATGGATAATATTTGGGCGAAGGTCAATTTTTTCTGTATTATTTTTTACGAAAAAAAAATAATAATAATATTTCTGAGACAACAAAAATCGGCGGCAATCGGTGTTGGTCACACACACACCGACAACATATTTGACATATACAAAAGATTTTTTGTTGTTGTTGTTTCAACCTATTTCAGGAAAAGCGAATAGAAAGTATTGTATATTTGTCGTCATTGTGTGGTCAGATGGATGGATGGATGGATTGTTGGCGGTTTCTAAAGACACACAAGTAGTTCTTAGTATTTTATAAACACATGCAAAAAAAACTTTATTTGTTTTTTTTCATTCAAGTGTTCATTTCGTTTATAAAGTATATCAATAACAACAACAACAACAACACATAGTTGTCTCTAAACAACAAATGAATGGACATTTAAAGTGATTCCAACAACAACAACAAAAAAAATCCACCCGTGAACTAATCAATCGAAATTTTTTTCCAATTGCAT